GCTCCTTTTCAGGGAGGATCATCTAGATGCGGCGGCGGGAGCTCATGTGTGGGTTACTCCGTCCATGAGCTCTGTACGAACGACGGCACGTCTGGGGCGCCTTGTTCACCTGAATGTGCTCAATGACCAGAGAATCCACATCTAACCCCTTAAGTTCAGCATTCCTCTCTGCATTTTTAAGCAGGAGCAGCAAAAATTCACTCTTTATGGGCCACTGACCTTGTGTTCAGTCCCACTGTTTAGCCGGGGCACATCTACCAACTCCGCCATTGTAACAACGGAATGGCACACACTGCTTCTGTAAAGTGACATCCTTCAGATACTTGGTGGCTTTTCGGATATGCATACCCTTGATGGCCTGGGCAGTTTCATGAGTGTTCTTAAAGTGAACGTGAAGATTTGAACCTCTTGACTTGCATGACTTTGTGCGGTTCTCTGGGTCAAGTGAATAGCAAATCATTTTTAAAGATCACCTCAGGCCGCTAGCAAGAAGAACTTGAAGGTTTATTTTATTTTTATTTCTTCCCATGGTGGGGGTGGGGTGGCAGAGAAAGGGTCTTCTCGCCACAGTCTACCTCCGGCCTCCACCAGCATGGATCACAGGCATGCATGGACAGAGAGACCTCTGGATGTGAACTCAGAACCTTCTCGTGTAGGTCCAACATCACAAAATGCTGTTATTTCTGCACCAGCACCCTGACCCTGTGAGTACCTTCAGTGTTCAGAGCAGTTCAGTGGCTGGTCCCAGGGCACCACCTACTATGTCCCTAGCACTGGGCCAGTGACTGCTAGGGGTGGAGAAACCAGAAGGGAGCAAGTTAGTGGTAAGCAACATGTCCTGCATCAACCCAGGGTCTCCCAGTACCTGGTTGTGCTGCAGTTGTGAATTCAAAGACCCCCCCCTCCTTTTTTTTTTTTTTTTTGAGAGGTTTTTTCGCTATAGGGCGCATGTGCTCGCCAGACAGACAGAGAGAGACAGAGAGACAGAAAGCGAGAAATCACCCCCCGGGGGGATGGTCACGCCGCAGTCCCTTCTCCATTCTCCTCTTGGGATCTTGGGCACACATGCACACGTGCCCGGCGTGAGTTTTAAGCCACCGGGTCCGGGACGCGAACTGCGGTCAACTACGTGGGAGTCCAGCGACATAGCCATTACGCTAACTGCTGGTTCCCTCAAAGACCCCTTTTGAATGTGTTGTAAAACAAATGTGCAGTCTGGGCTCACTGTCCTCATGTCCTCATGACCCCTCCATACCCTCTGCTTGGGGACATTTTCAGTCCGGTTCTTCTTTGTAAGCAGCAAGAACTGACTTAGGTGAGTGAAGCAAAAGGAAATTGATTGAAAGGATTCGGGAGTGACTCCCAGAGTCACAGTGAGGACTGGAGAGTCGTGCGGGATTCCCAGCTGGAAACAGTGCCCCAAGTCACGCTGCAAAACCTGTCTGAAGAGTGCGCCTCTGCCTCCCACTGGGTGCCTAAAGGTGTCATTAGGACCACTCCACTGCCATCCCTGCCCCTTGGTCTCTCTGCCCCTGCTCTGTCCCCAGACAGCCAGCCTCATGTCCCACCTCTCTTCATTCCTAGGTTCGGTGGGATGTGTTGGGACTGGTCTTGTAGTGCCTCAGCTGTAGGAAGGCTGGGGGACGGCTTCCCCAGACGGGCAGCTGGGACTCCAGGCTGGGACTCCCCCCATGTGGGGAGAGCATCAGCGCTTTTTTATGTGGGAAGAGCATCAGTGCTGAAAGAAATCCTCTCAGTCTATACTCTGGTCACCGCTTACTGTGTATGCTCTCATTAGCAGGATGTCATTCTCAGTCTGGATTTAGTACTGTTTTTAAGGAGATGTCTATTTTATATATTACCATAGCATCTAAAAGCATCCACAAATTGAAACATACTGCAGGTTAAACACCTCTCATCTGAAAATCCAAAACAGTGTAAAATCAAAAACTTTTTAAGTGCCACATGCCACAAGTGGAAAATTTCCACACCTGACCTTTGTATGACTGGTCCCAGTCAAAATGCTACAGTACAAAAATACTGCACAGCATTGCCTTTGGGGTATGTGTATAGAGTGTCTATGAAACATAACAGAATTTTGTGTTTAGACTTTTGGTTCCCATCCCCAAGCTATCTCATTATGTAGCTTATATGGAAATATTCCAAAATCTGAAAAAAAATCCCAAACTCGAAACATTTCCCAAGCAGTTCAGATAAGGTATACTCTACCTGTGTTACCTCTGTGTGTCTGTAGTCAACACTGGGTTTGTATGAGGATTTGAAGACCTTCTTAGCCCTGCCCCACCACCCCACCCCGGTTTCTGATACTCCTAAGTATGGAAATGACTGATGGAAATTTCAGTCATGATTCTAAGAAATGCCAGGTCTGCTCATCCATTCTGGTGTCTTTCTTTCTCTGGTCCTGATGGTTAATTTTTGTGAAACTATTCTGAAAAGTTAGTGGATGGATCAACTTCCCTTGGAAAACACACTGGTGATCTGTTTCTATAAATTAAAATCCTTCATGAGCCTGTTTCAGTTTCCTGCCTGATATGCTTCCCTCAGTATGGAGTTGTTAGTTCATAACCTTCGTTGGTATTTTCTTGCATTTGTCCAAAACGCTCTTTCAAATATTACTTATTGCTCTCTGTGTCATGTATTTAATGACCAGTTTTCTGAATCTATTAACCATTACAACCCTGGTCAGTCTTACTGGTGGGCGAGGTGTCCTCTCCGAAACTGTCGGAGATAACAGGCAAGCCTGGGCTTACGTTTCTGCTGTGATGCTCATTAACCTCGCATGATTGCGCAAGTCCTTCACCCTCTGAGCCTGTCCTTTGTCTCTGCCAGCCTACCTCGGGGGTACCTGGGAAGAAAGAAGCTGATTCATCCAGGCACGCAGTACCAGCTCATTGGCAAATACTCGTCCTCCTCTCTTCTTTAATAGCCTGTTTGTTCAAGAATTTCACTTAATGTTTTCATTTGTTTTAGTAGGTGGCAAGTGGGAGAAACCATCAGAAATTTTGGAAATCAAGGGTCAGAATTGGGAAGAACAAGTGAATAGTCTTCCTGAAGTTTTCAGAAAAGCTGGTTTTGTTATTGAAGCTTTTACCAGACTGCCATACCTGTGTGAAGGCGACATGTATAATGACTACTACGTTCTGGATGACGCCGTCTTTGTTCTCAAACCAGTATAAACACGTGGAGGCCGAAGTCTTCAGAGTCCGCCCCAAGAGTGCACCCTCTGGAAGAGGGTCAGCATTCGCAGTTACGGGAAGGGAGGGCCTTTGGGGACTGCCGTTCTAAATATCATGTAGGAAGTTAAAAAGCCAAAATACTAATTATTTCTTTGTAGTGTGTAAAAGGAATGTTTTTAAAAAACAGAAACCCAACTCTTTGTGGATTTTTATCAAGTATTTACTCAGAGTCACACTCTAATGCAGGTCACACTCCAACTTGGATGGAAGATATTTTTTATACTTAATCACAGTAGGGACTCATTCCCAGACAAAGCAATAGTCATGACTTCATGGAACCAGTAAATGGATTGTTAATAAAATGAAGACTGGCAATAAAGCTGTCCATTCAATTCCAAATATTGGTTATAAGGTATAGCCACTGATATTCTTTCATGTTTAGAAATTCTTTCTGTTATTACTCAAGAAAATGTTTTTAATCATGCTAATAAACTTTTTGGAGATGACTTTGGCATTGTGTTTGAGTTAATGCAAGACTCCCCTAGCATGTCTGACCGCTTGGGCTTCAGGGGTTCTCAGAGTAGCACTGTGTGAAAGACCCAGACAACCTGAATATGTGCAGAAGGGAGGCCTCAGGCTGCGGGACTGGGCGTGAGCACAGAGGCAGTCCAGATGCCCTCAGGATAGCCTCATTCAGATACAGTATTTCAGGGACCACCCCACTCCTCAGTGTTGCGTTGAGAAGTGTACGAAACTCAACTCTGACTTCTTGGTAGCTGTGTCCTACACCCAGAATTTTGTCTAGACAATCTCAGGTTCTCAGAATTGAAAACATTCTGTTGTGTCTACTGACAAAATGTAACCTAAAAATGTTTTAATTCAGCTTCTTACTCTACACTTGCATACCTCTTTCCCAGAACTTGGCTTTGCCTGAATTCCTTAACCAAGTTTATTATTTACCAAGAATATGGCTTAATGAAGACCATGTCAGACTCATACATTCGAGAATCCGTGAGTGCCTCCAATCATAAACCCAGAAGTGTTGCAATAGAGTAACTCATTAGCAAGATCAATAACCATTGTGGTTATTCCAAAGAGCAGAGCACTTAACCCGGAAACTGAAATCTCAGTAATAACAGAGATGTCGATTTGAGATTGTGGTTATTAACAATATGCTATTCTCACAACTTTATTTCTTTTTTCATCCAGGTGTTTCATTAAGTATTCTCATTTATATGCTCACAGAAGCCATCAAATCAACACATTTACTGCAACACCTGGATATAAGGAGAATTAAAGCCTTGAGAAGAATTCCTTTATTATTCATTACGAACCACACACCCACATCCTCACACCAATATCTCCCACTGTTACTGTGTAGTCATAATAAAAGTTGGGTTATGTGATTTATGCAAAATTGTTATTGGTGTATTCTAATGATTTTCTATCCCCAGGAATTCAAATAAGCGAAGTTCAAATACTTAGCATCATAGATTGTAAAAATAGGAAGAGGAAACGAGTAAACTTAATGTAGTTCTTGTACAGTTGAGTTTTGCTTCTTTATAAACTGTCTGGCATGGTCAGAGGTTGCTGCTTAGACTATTGAACCAGCAGTGATTGGCTACTCAGGCAGGTTGCCCTACAGTGTTCCTTAGCTTTCAAGTTGAGAATGATGGCCTATTAAAAACAAACAAAAAATTTATTCTTTATCAAAAAAAAAGCCACAAAAGCACATATGTTTATCCTTTTTAAAGATGAAAATAGTTTCTCAAGAAAATCTGAGATATCTCTGAAGCTCATCTTTTTAAAAGTGCCATTTTATGGTGAAAACTGAAACCAGCAAAATGCATTCTCATTTTCTGACTGATCTTTTAGCTATTGGTGGTGTGTCGCCATTCCACTAGATGGCAGTGTTGCTTACTGAGTGTCGATGGCTCCCCCCGCCCTTGGAATCTTTTTTTTTTTTCCCGAAGTACAATAAAACTGCCTTTCTGTCTGCACCAGTCCTCGTGTAAGTGCTTCATATCAAGTGAAGGCTGTGCTAGAGAAATTAGGAACAGCTCTGTCTGTGGTTGGGCCAAGCTAGCTGGGTGACCTGGAAGGTCAATGGAGAGGGGAGACACAGGCCGCACCAGTGAGTCCTAGTGCCTGCCCCCGGGTTGAAAGCCCCTTGAGTGTTCAGAACGCTGATTTCAGAGAAGGGAAGAAAAGAAGGTACAATACCCTTAGTCATTTTTCCCTCGGACGAAGTAGTTAAAAGCAGTGTTGTACTTTTACCATCCTGTATGAACCATTATCAGTTTTTATTGTCTTAATATCAGACTTAAAAAAAAGTGGAGAACCAGCAGTTAGCGTAATGGCTATGTCGCTGGACTCCCACGTAGTCGACCGTGGCTCGCGTCCTGGAGCCGGTGGCTTAAAACTCACGCCGGGCGCGTGTGCATGCGTGCCTAAGATCCCGAGAGGAGAATAGAGGATAAGGGATTGCGGTGTGGCCATCCCCCCCTGGGGGGTGATTTCTCGCTTTCTGTCTCTATGTCTCTCTCTGTCTGGTGAGCGCATGTGCCCTATAGCAAAAATCTCTCCAAAAAAAAAAATGGACTTTTTTTTAACAGAAAAAAAATAAGACTAGGAAATAAAGTAAAACTTCAATGATACAGATCGTCTTTCTGAGTAAAGCTTTGTTTTACTTTGTTCTGAGTATAGTATGAGGTTTGTAAGAAGATGGCGTTTTCACCAGTTGCTCCCCTCTGCTTGTTACTGGTAGAGGTATTCCATGAATTGTTTTCTCCCTGTAACAATAAACTCACCATGGGCTTCAAATGGCTAAAGTCACCTTTCATGTCTTGTCGGGTCATCAGAAAAGTCAATGTGTTTTTCTATACACAAATGCATCATGACTTTTCTGACCAACCCGTAGGTGCCAAAGTACCCCCTAGTCCTCCCATATTACAGCTAGGAGACAGCACCATGGATCTGGGCAGCTTGGGCTGAGCGGTGCTGTCTAGGAGTCCACTCAGCACAAAACTGGGCTCATAATTGACTTGAAGTAGGCAAGATACTCACAAACTTAAAATCAGCTTGTTAGAGAAAATAATGGAAGGAGATTCAGACTGTCCATACTAAGGAACATTTGTGATCTAAGTGGAAAAAAATAAATATGCCAGAATCGTTCAGCAAGCAGGACTGCGATATAAAATTCAGTCTGTCCTGTAGCAAGCGAATGATGAGAGAACAGCGAGGCCATAACTGTTCTAACAATATAGTAAGGTTTTCACATCCGGTAGCTAGATAGGCATTCATACTTTGCTGCTTGCTGTATCCCTTTTTCTAATATATTTGCATTGTGTATTTTCTTTGTAGAAATTGAGTCCAATGTATTTTACATGTTGCTTGCTTTCTAACAATTTACCTTTTAAGTAAACATTTTGTAATAATTTTAGATTTATAGGAATTTTGCAAAGATAGTACAGGGCCCTTGTCTACCCCTTAGCTAGTTTTCCTTAGTGTTAACATCTTACATTATCATGGCATGTTTCTCAATATTAAAAAAATAACATTCTAGGGCCCACAGGTGGCATGGTGGTTAGGGCACTGGACTCCCACGTGGTCAACTGTGGTTCGTGTCCCAGATTCGGCAGCTTGAAAATCATTTCAGGTACGTATGTGTGTGCACCCAAAATCCCCAGAGGAGAATGGAGGAGAAGGAGCTGTGGTATGGTCAAATTCATGGGAGGAGATTTCTCATTTTCTCTCTCTGTCTCTCAAGTGAGTGCATTCATCCTATGGCAAAAACCTTAAAAAAAAAAAATTAGGAGCCAGCAGGTGGCAGTGGACTCCATGGTTGACCACAGTTTGAGTACTGGTCCTTGAAAATCACACTGAGCATGTGTGTGTGTGCACGTGTGTGCGTGTGTGCATGTGTGTGTGCCCAAAATCCCAGGAGGAGAAGGGAGTGTGGTGTGGCCATCCCCCGGGGGGAATTTCTCACTTTCCCTCTCTCTCTCTTTCTTGTGAGTGTACATGCCCCGTGGCAGAAATTTTTTTTTTTTTTTTGAGAGATTCCGTGGCAGAAATCTTAAAAAAAAAAAACAAAAAGAAATAATGTTTGTGCATCATTAATTAAATTCCAGACATTGGGATTTTGCCAGTTTTTCCACTGATGACCTTTCCTGCTCTAGGATCCTCTCCATGGGGAATGGTCACACTGCAATTCTTTCTCCTCCATCTCTCCCTCTTGGTATTTTGGGCACTCGAACAAACATGCCTGGCATGTTTCTCAGACTACAGATTTCAGGACTCAAGCCATGTCATCAGCTATGTGAGACCCACCGCCTTAACCACCACCCAACAGAGCCCATTCCCCAATTTTTTGGGGGAGGGTATGCGGAGAAGAGATTTTTGCTATAGGGTATATGTGCTTGCCAGACAGACAGTGAGAAATCATCCCTGGCAGGTGTGTGTGTGGGGTGGGGGGAGTGGGAGGTTGATGGCTACGTCACAGTCCTTTCTCCATTCTCAGGATCTTGGGCATGCAAGTACATGCGCCCATTGTGTGTTTTAAGCCGCCAGGTCTAGGACTGAAACCACAGTCAACTATGTAGGAGTCCAGCAGTGTAACTATTCTGCCATCTGCTGGTCCCACCATTCCCCAATTTGTTTAAAAGAAAGTTTTTGTTACAGGGCACTTGCGTTTGCCAGAGAGAGAGAGGGAAAATTAAGAAATCATCCCCCAGGGGGTGATGGCCACCCCACAATCCCTTCTCCTTTCTCTCAGGATTCTGGGTGAATCATGCTGCTGGCATGATTTTCAAGCTGCCAGGTCCAGGACTCGAACTGTGGAGTCAGTCGTGTGGAATCCAGCTGCCTTAACCTCCACACCACCTGCTGGCCCCCGCTTTTTTTATTATAGTAAAACACACATTATAGGGACTGTCAGTCACTACTAGGTGGACAGTTCAGTGTAGTAAGCATACATCGCTGTGCAGACATCAACTCCGTCCATCTCTAGAACCCTTCATCTTCCAAGACAAAACTCTAAACGTTAAACAATAACTCAGCATCCACCCACCGCCCTGGTTACCACTGTGCTACTCTCCATGTGCACCTGACTGCTCTAGGTAATTCATGAAAGTGGAATTATACAGTATTTGCCTTTTCGTGATTGGCTTATTCACTTAGCGTCACATCTGCAAGGTTCATCCATGTGACATGTCAGAATTTCCTCCCCTCCCCTTTTTTTTTTTTTTTAAAGTATGTTGCTATAGGGCACATGTACTCACTGGAGAGACAGAGAGAGACAAAGAGACAAAAAGTGAGAAATCATCCCCCAGAGGGCATGGCTGTGCTGCAATTTCTTCTCTGTTTTCCTCTTGGGATCTTGGGCATGCACACACATGCGCCCGGCCTGAGTTTTAAGCTGCTGGGTCCAGGACTCAAACTGTGTTTGACTTATGTGGGAGTCCAGTGTCATAACCATTACACCATCTGGTGGTCCCAGAATTTC